GCAAGGGTTGCTAGGCAACATTTGCCTTCTGAAAGGGGACTAGGGGAGAGGGGCAAGAGTTTGTTCCTGAGGCTCTAGTTAGTCCATTCTTCTTCACGTTCTGATGCCATCAGGAGAAAGACAAGGAGAGCTCCGTGTGTCCATTTTTCTTCCTTATAAAGCATAGGCCCTGTGTTTAAAATAGACTTTTCAGCTTTTCCCTTCAGTCCTCTCAAAGTATACCCCCAGGCCCTATCAACTGTCAATGGTTGCCACAGAAATAACCCACAGAACTCCTGTGAGGAAGGGCCCTGTCTCTGAGGGGCTTCTTAACTGGCCCCGAATTCAATTACATGTCATCAGTACATGCTTTAATCCTAACAGTGCCGTATCGTAAACATCAGTGCTGACAGTTAAGCCTACCTCTGGACCACCAGCGTGCTGGAGAGCCTTCATACCAGGCATCAACCACAGTCAGCCACAAAACACACAGGGCCAGTCCCCGCCCCACCCCCAGCTCCAGAGCTCTGGCTGGACATGGGATGAACTCAAGCCATTATATTATGAACATTTTGGCCTACAGCTTGTGGACTTTTAAAAGTTGGCTCTCCTAAAGTTGCTTCTGCTCACCAAAATGGTATGGCACGGTTTCCACTTCTTTACCGTTACCTTTGCAGCGTTTCTAGGACCAGTTCCTGCTGTATTGGGTAATCCTCAGAGGTGGCTATGTATTGTAGGAATCCTCCAAAGTCACTTACTTGGCTAGAACCAATGGGCTGCTTGCACCTGTCAGCCAGACCTGAAGTCCTCTTCTGTCACACAGCACAGCAAGCCCTTTGTTTGAAAAAGCCTGGCTTTCTGGGTGTGTCTTCTTTAGCTGGAAATGGCAATGCACACTGCCCTGGTGATGGCTACCTCGTAACTTCACTATTAGACAGTTACAGCTTGAATGAGATGAGCTTCACAGTCATCTGGTATGAGAGAAACCAGAGAATTGTTTTTTTTTAAAAAAAAAAAACAATTTAAACCATACCACAGAGAAACTGACTCTCTGAAGAAACATTTAACAATGTTCCTTTAGACAACTGGTTGAAGTAATTTTCTCCTCCAGGGAAAAAAGTGCTGTGGTTTTTCTGTAACATCTTTCAAAAGGCTGCTACATCCTAACTTTCTGGTACTTTCTGATTGACAGTAAGATGAATGTGTGTTTTAGGTGGTAAAATAGCATGAGTAATGGAAGGATTAAACTTATGGATCAGAAAGTAAATGCAGGCGTTTCAGCATACATTAGCTTCTTTCCTGTTTAGACTTCTTCAGGCTGTCCTTTCTCTCAGATGGGCACCAGATGCATTCCTTGCGGCTCACAGACCTTCTGGGGCTATGTATAGAGGAGTGTGTGTAACCATCACACCCTTTGGGTCTGTTTTGCTTTCCCAATAACACAGTGCAGGGATCTCACAGTTTCACCACGGCCTCGTCTTTGTTCACGTAAAATGTTCAGGAAACCCCAACCCCAAGCACACACAGCAGCATTGAACATAAAGATGGCCATAAACCCAGGATTTCCTTCAGCTCTCTTCTTGTGTGCTTGCTGTCCCTCTCCTTTCTCTTGCTTGTGCTGCTTTGGTGAGGTGTCCTTGCAGCCTTCATCTTTTTCTCCCACAAGCCCAACTCCTCCTTTTCCCCCCTTAAACCCAGCTGTAGTCTCTGATACATTCTGCCTGCAGTCCTGTCCTCAACTGCTTGGGGATTCATCAAAACATCCCCACTTGGGTCTCCAGCCCTGCCTCTCAGACCCTTGCCCAGCCTACCCGCGCCCATACTGGCCTGCAGTTAGTTCCTACTCATTTTCTATCTCTAGGCCTCTGGCCATGGGATCATATCGCGCATGAAGAGTGTTCTGTAAGTAGGGTGGAGAGAGGAGTCTACAGCTATTGATGTTCCTCATGGAGCTAGAAAGACCATCTGTCTGGCCGATTTCCTTAAGGGTGAAGTTGGTATTCAGGACTAAGAGGTACCAAGCTCAAGTAAATATGCATATGTATTTAGATAGGCAGACAAACTCAGTTTCAAAAAAAAATGAATGAACTAATTATCTGTATCTGATGATAAATCTTTAAAATTAGTGTATTTGTTATTTTTCACTTATGTGACAAAATACTTGCCAGGAATCCCCTTAAGGAAGGACAGGTGCGTTTGGCTTGCCTTTTAAGGGGAGTCCATCATCATGGTGAGAAAAGTATGGCAGTAGGAATGAGAAACTGTTGGTCACACTGATCTCCAGTTAGGAAGCAGTGAACCAGAAGTGGGGCACCCCAGAACCCTTCCCATGGTTGAGCTACTTCTTCTACCACCTAAAGTTTCTACAACCATCACAAACAGAGCCACTTCTGGTGACCAAGTAGTCAAACACACAAAAATCTGATCAAGTTAAAAACAAGATGGTGCCGGGTGATGGTGATACATGCCTTTAATCCCAGTGGGAGGAAGAGGCAGGATGATCTCTATGAATTCCAAGCTGATCTGGTCTACAAAACATGCTCCAGAACAGCCAGGGCTGTTATACAGGGTAACCCTGTCTTCAAAAGCAAAAACAAAACAAACAAACAAAAAGCCAAGATGGTAGTATATTCCAATACTTTATGCCAGATTATTGTCAAAAAAATCAAAATGCATACAGTGTAAACTGGTATGAAATCACCAGTAATATTGCCACCCCGGGTAAAATCAGTAGTAACTTTTGGTGTATTTTCAGTCCATTGCTTCTAGTGTGGGAGGAGGGTAAGCACTGGGAGCAAAAGATGCTGGTTTTCTGGGGTGCAACAGTGGAACAGCAAGATATATAAGATTTGGAATATGGATGATTGGGTTTGCTGACAGATGCAATGAGGGGGGAAGTAGACATGACAGAGACCACGATGACTCTCCAATTTCTGCCCTGAGCACTGTAGGAAAACTGTCAGCTGTGCACTGGAGGTCCCTGTGTTTATTATAATCAATGTTTTGGATATAGTTAGGAAAACTAACTATACTCACTGAATGTTTTGATGTATATTATATGAATATACCTTGTATTATAAAATATACTCTAAATGTAGTGTTCATGATATTAAATGATTACAAGTGTTAAAATGATTGCACATTTTGATACCTGTGATTAACTGTAGCTGTTCCACACATCACTGGGCATTTAGGGTGACTTGTCCTATGTAATAAATAACACTGGAAGTTCTCAGGACCCATTTCTTTTCTTACTTCCTCAGTCCTGAGATAATTCAGTTGGGAGAACTGGCCAAGGCTTACTACGATTTCTAAATGACAGACCAACAATGGGTGAAAGGAATTCTGGAAAAGACCAAGGCGAGGGGTTGTCTTACTGTCACGCCCCCCCAAAGGACCACTGCAAGGCATGTCTCAAGCCAGACTAATGCTGCCTTCAAGGTTGGAACTGTCTTGTGGGAGACGGACACTGGCCACAGGCAATGAAGGAGCCAGACAGCAGGGCCATCTGGAACCAAATTTTAAGTATAACTTCAATGCTTTATGAGGTTTGTTTTAGCTATTCTTTAAAAGCACACCATTTTAGGGCTGAAGAGCTGGCTCAGCAGTTAAGAGCACTGACTGTTCTTTCAAAGGTCCAGAGTTCAATACCCAGCAGTCACATGGGTGAGATCGTAGAGTTCCCTCCTCTGACATGTAGGCATATGTGTAGGTAAAACACTTTACATAATAAATAAATAAATCTTAAAAATATACAACACTTTAACATATAGGCACATGGAGCTTTGAGGACAGTGAATCCAAGGTAGAATTTCTTGGGGGAGGGCACGGGACTGTAGCTCTGTATAGGCAAATCCATGGATCATCCGGAAGAAAGTAGGGAAATTCTCCTGACCTCAGCCTGTGGATAAGAAGCAGTTCCATGCTGAGTTGCTTGAGTTTGCTCGGGGAATCCGAGGCTAAACAAAGAGAATGAAGTCTTCCCCCTATGGTCTAAGGATGGATGTGTTTGAAAAATGTTTTGAGTTTTTTGCCTATAGAACAATGGGAGTTAGCAGGTAACCATAAGATAAAAATTCTAGACATCCTTTTCATCCAACCTTGCTGTCCAAGGTCTCTGAGGGCTGGAGGAAAGTCTTAGCCCTGCATGTACTTATTAAAATTGTGAGTTTTTTTAATGTCTAAAAATAGTTTCTATCATTCAGAATTATAAACTTTTTCATTTTCAGTGCTAGTTTTAATTCAAGAATCTTTCATAGATTAAAACTTTAGGTCAATGTTTGAATCTAAGACTCAAAACATATACTTCCTTTTGAACAAAATATTATTCATGGAAGATACTAGCCTACTTTGTCTCTCAAGTGGTTGGGGGGTTTGATAGGCGGACCAGAGGCTCAGAGTGTTTCTGTTAGAGAAGAGGGCTCGCTACCTAGGATAAGCACAACCCATTCAGGGTACCAAGGAATTCAAAGCATAGAATAATGTAGGGTTTTGGCCATGAGGCAACCAACTTGAGGACACCCTTTGGTGTTGTATGTCTTGCCTCTTTCTGACGAGCACAGGAACTTCCAGCTTTCCACTTAAGAAGTGAACTTCCACCATGTTCCCCCAATGAACCCCTCTTCAGCCCTCTCCTGCTGAACACTGCGTAACACAAACCTTCCTCTTCTGTCAAGATACGGATTTTGTTTCTTCAGGACTGAGCTGGTAATGAGTTTAGCAGTCACGTCTAAAAGAAGAGCAATTGAGTGTTTCTTTTAGGTATACACAAGACATTCAGGAAGCAGATGATTTTCCTAAGACTAGCGCACCAAGGGGAAAATGGCCATCTGTACATACCAGCCTAATCCTGCGCTGTCATCTCTCTAGAGATTTATTTCCCTCAAATTCTGCTGTTGTCATCTTGAGTTATTTTTCTTGTACCAAAAATATACATCCCTGATCAGTGGTGCTTATTTTTCAGCTTCTAGTACAGTTTCATATTTTTTTTATCTAAAATTTTTTCTTTTTTGCTTTTACAGGGTCCAGCAATATCATGGCAGGAGTTGACCACATACAGAAGCAGCTGGAATTACAAAATGGTAGCTTAGAGGAAGGACTTGGGGTACGTTCCCTGAAGATCGAGCCACAGAACATGATGGAGAGTCTAAGCCCGAGGAAATATTCCTCCAGTCTGAAGTTTAAAGCCAACGGGGACTATTCTGGCTCGTATTTAACCCTCTCCCAACCTGTGTCCACCAAGAGAAGCCCTTCTCCTTTGGGCAGCAGTGTTAGGAGCAGCCCCTCCTTGGTCAAACTCCAGGGAAACAAGCAGTTTTGTGAGGGAACTGACAAAAATGTTTCCATGAAGCCTCCTACGTCCTTCCTCAGCTCCGCAGCCTCTCTGGGGGGTTATCCACTCGGGAGAGCAGATTTGGATCATTATACTGGTCGGGACAGTGAGAGGTCCTCCAGGCTCTCAGAGAAGCCCCCCTATTCCAGATACAGCTCTAGGAATAAATCCCATGACAACGTCTACTTTCTCGGGGGGCTGGAAGGAAGAAAAGCCTCTGGCTCGCTCTTGACCATGTGGAATGGGGGTTCCTTGAGCAGCGCTGGCTCCGCACCGGTCAGCAGATCTGGGGCAGCGAGCATGCCCTCGAGCCCAAAGCAAGCTAGGAAAATGAACTTACCGGACAACTTGCCCCTTCAGCCCCGGTTAAGCCGGCACAAGGAGCCAGCCTCTGAAAATATCAGTGTGAGAACAAGGAAGTATTCAGGGAGCAGCCTGAGTAACATGGGTGCCTATAGCCGATCGCTTCCCAGGTTGTATAAAGCCACAGACAGCCAGATGCCGCCTCTCAGCCTGCCTCCAAGAAATTCCCTGGGCAATTCCAAACGAGGTCAGTTAGGGGAAAAGGATCTACCTCATAGCATAGTGGATAATGACAATTACCTTAACTTTTCTTCTCTAAGCTCAGGGACTTCACCCTATAAAACCTCTCTGTCAGAGGGAAATCCTTACGTAAGCTCCACCCTTAGTGTCCCTGCCAGCCCTCGAGTGGCCCGGAAGATGCTCCTGGCCTCAACCTCTTCAGATGACTTTGATAGGGCTTCTTACTCAGGGACCAGCCCGAGTCATTCCTTCATCTCTGGAGAACCAGACCGAGTGCCTGTGGCCAGGAGGAACTTCTCTTGTGGATCTATGGAGTTTGATGATTCTGATCTGGAAAGCCTACGACAGTCCTCAGAAACGCCCCAGCCTGTCCTTCGAGAACGGAAAAGCAGCATCAGCTCCATTTCAGGCCGCGACGATCTGATGGATTATCACCGCCGACAGAGGGAGGAGAGACTCAGGGAGCAGGAGATGGAGCGCCTGGTAATCTTCCTCTTCTGACCTCACTCTTGCCTTGACTTACATCCCCAGGGTTGGAGACAGCCTCCCAGGGTACATGTAGGGGTGTGGAATTTCCGTGTGGACCAGCCAGCCACTGCAGTCCATGCTGCCTCTTGCTCTCTGTCCCACGTAACTCTTCCTTGGCTACTGTCGTGGGACATCTATGGGCATTTTGAAATTTCCAAAGCTCACCAGAGCTAGAGCCTTATGTTTATTTAGTTCTGCAGAGTTCTTCTGTTCCTTTGCCTCTTCTCTTCTCTCCCTCATCATTTTCCCCCCTTTTCTTCATGTGCTCGGGATGGAACCCAGGGACTTGCGCAACCACTAGGCATTCTGGGAAAAGTGAATGTCTAGTTGTGAATTTTGCTGACTTTCTTCTATCTTGTGAATTTTTCTGAGACTATGAGGAAGTGACAGTGGTGTTTATGGCATGAAACTCACTCCTGTGTGCTTAGGACAGAAGTAGTCAGTAAGATAATAACCTAAAAATTTGTAGAGCAAGTCACCTGGAAAGGTGAAGGGTGTCCCAGCCGCAGTGAAGCCCTGGTTCTTCTCCCCACACTATTCACAGAACTCCAGACTCTCTTCGGCTGTGCTGTTTCTTCACACAGCACCTTTGACAAACGCAAAATGCACTGAGTTTACTCCCGTTTTCAATTTAAAATGCGCTTATGCTTAACAGTGAAAACTACATTGAAAGTAAAAGGGCAAGGATGGAAGGAAAGATTCCTCAATAGCCTCATTGACGAACGGGAGCATCAAGGGTTATTTTTCTGGTCTCTTTTAGTGGGTTTTTATTTTAAAATGAGTTTCTGTCAGGGACTGTTTTGCTTCGCTAGTGATTAATGACTTCCTTAATGAGAGAAGCTATGGCATGGCAAAGCTGGTCTACAAAAGTGTAAGACCATCAGAGGTCTTTTAATTGCTCAAAAAAGTATGTTGGAATAAGGTTTCTCAATCACATGGAAAAATTGATTTCTGCCTATAATACAATAAAATTTGTATTATAGGGACAGAAACCATCTACACTATGCAACATTTGTTTGATATTTCAGAACAAGAATCACATGTCACTCAAAGTTTTGGTAAGTTTATGCTCTTCCAAGCAAAGACTACTAGGCAAAAACACATATGCATACCTCTGGATAATTAAGTATTCACTGTGGATGTCGGTTAAACAGCGCTCCAGTGGGATGTTCTCTTTGCTGTCATAAATCATCACTAGAGATAACCCATGACCACAAAAAAGCTTTGTGTCTAGGCTTGATCCTTTGATATAATTCAGAAACCCATTCAGTTAGCAAACGGGTTCTTGTATATGAACCTGTACTGTGCTAAGCAACTTAGAAATTGATAATTTCCTATGGAAGTTAGTAGAGCCTTTCCTGTGAAATTTTTCACTCTGGAGATCTTCCTTTAGTCTACACATTGACTCATGTATCACAAGGATGGAAAACCAACCAGAAACTTGATATGCCTTGAGTTTCATCTTTAGTACATGTAAGTGCTGGTGACTTTCTCTGTTCTCCAGATTCCCCACATCTAAGGCTCCTCACAGTCCCAACAAGTGACTTTACTTGTTGATTGAAAGGCTGGAACTTGATAAATCATGAGCAATATCAACTTCTTGGGCGATCTTGATGAGACTGTTAGGAATACTACTTGTAATCCCTTTTCCTTATTAATGGCTTGTTATATTGTACAAAAATGAGAATTATCTATCACAAATGACTACACTGAATGTTCTCTCTGTTACTTTTGCATAGTACCTGAAGTAACTTATAAAGAGGCAATAAACAGTCCCAGTGGTGGTGCCGATGCCTTTAATCCCAGCACTTGGGAGGCAGAGGCATGCGAATCTCTGTGAGTTCGAGTCCAGCCTGGTCTACAGAGCGAGTTCCAGGACAGGCTCCAAAACTAATTTCGAAAACCAAAAGAATAAAAAATAAATAAAAAACAAACAAAAAAACGAAGTCATTTTTGACTTCCAGTTTTTGATTCAGTTGCCCCATTGCTTCTGGGCAGTGCATGATGGCAGGGAACATAGTGGAGCGAAGCTGCCCATCTCCCGGACAGATGCCATGAAAAGAGGGAGACACTGGGGTCACACAATCCTCTCTCAGTGACACACCCCAACAACTGGAAGTTCTTCCACAATGATCTAGCTCTGAATTTCCACCAATCATAATAGCTTTAAGCATGTGAACATTTGGGATGCTTAAGCTTGATTTTTTTTCTTGTGTACTAAAGAACAAAAACTTTAGCTCATACAGAAATGGTAGAATTTTGTCTTTTAAAATACATAAAGATATATCTCCATTAGCATTAAGAATATTACTTTTTATGGTACTAAATCTTCAGTTCAAAGGCATTTACATAGAACACATTTTTATTGATTTTTTTTTAAGCATGAACTGAAATTCTTCAAAATCGCCCTCATTCCAGGGCAAACAGCTGAATTTGAGTTTTCTATCAACAGCGTACTTGTCATTCTTTATGTTGTAAAAAAAAAAAGTCTTTATGAGAAAACCATAAAAATATTTCAACTTTGGGCTGGAGAGATAGTTCAGTGGGTAAAGGCCCCTCGTTTGTAAACATGAGAAAGTAAGTTCAAATCTCCAGCACCCATGTAAAAAGCTAGGCTTATCTTTGCCTGCTGTAGCCCCAGTCCAGGGAGACAGAGACAGGTACTGAGATCTCATTGGCCACCCAACTGAAATGGTGAATTTCTCGTTCAACGAGAGATGCTATCTCATCAGTGAAGTAGAAAGTCACTGAAGAAGACACTCCGCATCCTTCCCTGACTTCCATATACTTGCTTGCATGCAGCCACTTCTACCATACACACAAACTCGGCATGCACATACATATACCACAACTATACACAGTGCACACACATACATCACACATACACCACACTCAAAAGAGTATACTTTCTGCTGAACATTAACATTCTATTATCTTTCTTTTAAAATGGTTGCTATTATTGTGTATGTGCTATGCATGCATGCGTATATATGTGCTGTGAAGTGTGTGTTTGTGTGTGTGTGTGTAGATCAGAGGACAACGTTGTGGAGTTGCTTCTTTCCTTGCATTTTTATTCGGGCCTCAGGGATCTAATTTGAGTCACCCAGCTTTGGGAGAAGTGCTTATGCCTGCTGAGCCTTCTTGCTGGCTCTGTATTGTTTTTTCATAGACAGAATTTTCAGGTATTAAAAACCCGTGGAACCGAGATTTGTGCTTCAAACATACAATTTTCAGGTTCAATTTTAACTTCTGATCTCTATTACCTCCTTTCAAATTCTGGAACAACCAGGCCTGGTCATAAAAGCAAAACTATTTAATTGAAATACACTAGAGAGTGTAGTAAATAGGGATTAAATATACAGAGATTAAAGTTTTCTGTAACATAGGCCAGCCTTGAACTCCTCATGTAGCCAAAGCATCCACCTCACAAGGGCTAGGGTTAGAGACACATGGTCAGGCCTGGCCTTGACTGTTCAGCTCACTTTCTCAGAGAAGAACAGTGCTGGCGAATGAACTGTTTGGATGGGAAAGGGTTTTGCTTAAGATGGAAGAATCAAGGATCATACTTTGTTTTCTTGGAAATTGAAAATGTTGGATCTATTTAGATGTTCTTTATTATCTATAAACCAATCGGAGCAGCAGGCTCCTGGAGTCTTTTTTATTGTCCTTGAGAGACAGGAAAAATGTTTTCCTTGCCCACAGCAATTTCTTCTTTCTTTCTCAAGACTTAACACGAATTCTACTTCTTCAGCTACAAGCCCTGAGTACACAGAGAAACACAAAATGTCTCTCCTTTAAGGCCCAGTGGTCTTTTATTTGACACAAAAATATATTCCTGGTTAGATACAAAGAAATTATAAATCACAACTACAAAGAAATCCTCTGCCACCGCTCACCTGTCCAGGCTGGATTTCAGTCTTAAGTGACAGAAAAATCAATGACCAGAGCAAAAACCAGAAGCCTGAATGCTGCTAACTCCTGATGGGGACAGCCATCGGCTGTGCTCGCTCTATGGGCACCGAGGGTCAGTTAACTCCCAGAGTGAATCCACTTGAAGGCTGCAGTTTCCGAGAGCAAACACACTCTGATCTGATTGCAGAGTGGGTAAACGTGACGAGTTAATCAACCCACTACTGTGGAAACCGTGCATCAGAAAGTGGGGTCACAATGACAGCAGCTAATATTTTTAACTTGGTTGTGTTTTTTTTTCTAACTTGTTCAATTTTGATTGAAAACCCAAGATAAGTAAAGTTATCATTAAAGATGAAACCATAATTATGAACCTCTAAGGGCTTATTAGTGAAATGTAATCATTCCAAGTCTGTATTAAATAGCATCCAAACTGCCATGTTATTTGAGAAGTTTTTATTTTAACATTTCTTCTTCCATCTTTCTTGTTCTTAGCTGGCTGTTCATTTCTAATCATCTTTCCTGCCCCTGCCTACACATCCCCTTCCACATTGTGTGATTTGTTTTTTGTTTTTTGTGTTTTCTTTTAAAGAAATCAGGTATACAGCTTTAATTATGCTGTTTTGACCTGTGTCCGTGTGAGGTGTTAGGATGGTGCTCTTCTCACCAAGTGTGCACATGTGAGGCTGTGCAGCTTGAGACAACCATTTCAGCTGGTCAGTAGGCATTTCAGCCCTCTCCTGCTGAGCTGTGGTCCAAGGACAGTTGGAATGCTGATTGACCAATAAGATGTACCCCAGGCTAACGAAACCACTCTTAAGTGATCAGATTTCATCTGTTTGATATCTGCATGTTCCTACTTATCCAGATGTAGCCAAGGCCCCTTATGGCCCAGGTATTTTAGATAAGAGAAAATTAAAAGCTTACACTTAACTCTGTCTCAAATAAGTGCATTGTTTGGCAGCATCGCCAGAAGCATCTGCATCCTATTGTGGAGGACCAGTGGGTCCCACAGATTGCACTGTGGCTGGGCAGTGTTTTCCCTT